GCATTTTGAAAGGGGCACCTCTCCTTTGCACCAACCTGCTGCTCATGGTGTGTAACAGCAGCCCGCTCCCAACCTGCACATTTCTGTAATTTTGTCCGTGCATAGCAAGTGGCATAAGCAACCATGGTGGCCGGGAGAGGGATGCCTGGCACCACCGCGAGCAGCCACTGGCACGTGGAGCAGGGCCGTCTGCCACTCTCTGCAAGGCCCTCCTCCCCGTGTCCTTTGCAGGTGGGTGGCGGCAGTGGGACTGGTGCCTGCTCTCCCTGAACTACTCCTGAGAGTCCCCTGGGCTGCGAAGAAATCAAATCTAAAGTCTTTAGAAGGCAAGAGAATGAGAATGAAGCCCAAATCCTTTGGCCACCTAATGAGAAGGAAGGACTCCTGGGAACGATGGACGGCAAAAGGAGAAGGGGGCGGCAGAGGATGAGGGGGCTGGAGGGGGTCACTGGGGAGGTGGCTGTGGGGCTGGGTGGACTCTGGGGGCTGGTGGAGGACGGGAAGGCCTGGAGGAGTGTTGTCCAGGGGGTCGCGATGGGTCAGACACCACTTCGTGACTAAACAAAGCAAACCAAAAAACCAGCGCCCTGAACTGCTGCTTGCTGTCGGCTCTGCTTTTGTTGCTGCTGTTCATGGCTTGCAGTTTTAAAGTTACTCTGCTCCTCGCAGGGTGCAGGGCTTGCTAAAAGCAGCCTAGCAGTTAAGAGCGACTTGACTGCCTGGGTGCGTATCCCAGGATCCTGGCTGGGGAACCGCAGCGCAAGCAGAGGGTCCTAGCCCTCCTTCCGCTGCAAAGAGAAGAAGCTGAACATAAAGGGTGCTGGAGGATTAGGGGGTGCAGTGAGAGGCGGCAGGGAGAGGGAGGGGAGAGAATTTATGCAGAAGGCAGGCATAAGCATTTTGATACTGAGCTCTGCTCAAAAGTGTCACAGTCTCTGGAGAGACAGAAAGAATCTTCTGCCCGTGGGACATTTCAGGCTAGGCTTGTCAAAATAGGCTGCGAACCAGACTCACAGTCCCACGCTCTCCAAGGAATGGACATCTGCTGGAGCTGCTGTGCTTATTCTGAACCGAGGCGGCTTGTACAGGAAGGGAGGTGCTTGTCGGTTTTCTCTTCAGCACACCTGGAACCTTGTAGGTCACGAGGCTTTGCAGGAGCAAAAAGCATCTGCTCGTCTTGCTGGGCCTCGCTGGGTCTGCGCAGCTAAAAGTGCATTTGTAAGTTGACACTTGGCGGCGAGACCTGACATTCCTCGTGGGCTCATCTTGATTAAAGATCTTCTAGCTGATTAAATATCTGGCTTTTAACTGGTTGATAAACCAATTGCATTTATGTCTTGTGACACCTCAGTGGAGATGCCTTTGAGAGGATGCTGAACAAAGGTGACAGTTTCTCCCAGTATGAGGTGTTCAATTGAAAAGACACACACACACACAAACACACGGTTTATTGTTCAGAAAGGGGGAAAGGGATTATTCTGATCCACCAGGCTCTTGGCTTTCTCAGCCTGGGAATTGAACGGGCGATTTCTGAAATGGCTAAACCAACCACAGCTGTCAGAGCTGCTCTTCCAGCTTGCTGTTGTCTTTCAGCTAAATTCACCAGCTTAATGTCAGACAATCAAGAAATGTGTATATCTTGTTCACCATATCCTAGCAGCATATTCCGTTATGGGTAGGGATGCTAGTTTTGGTTTTATTAACAACAATTTAATGGCTCTCCATAACTCTCGGGCAACTTAACAGCATGCATTCCACAAAACAGCCACAACAACAACTTCACAACAATCCCAGGTTTTAAAATAGGCGCGGGCTACACAGATTAGTTCACCAGCCTCCATGTGGTGCTGGAAGGAGCACAAAGATGGCGGCAGGGTCGCCTCCTCAGGGCTGTTCTTCCATAAGCGAGGCTGGGGAGGTCGTCTCCTTGGTGGCTGCCCTGCCTCACCTCACAAGGTGTGCTCTTTGGAGCAGAGCCTCTGAAAACCTTAAGACTTGCCTGGGTGCGTACAAGGGAAGCCCATCTTTTAAGTGGAGAGAGCACATGCTATCCAGACAAGTTCACCAATTCCTCAGTGTGACTCTGTGTCAGCAAAATGGGCACATTGAAAAATGCACACATTAAGACAGTCGCAACTTTAAAAATGTACTATTTGAATCCCACATTTCCAAAGGCCCGCTTTTCTTAATGTGTGCATCTTAAAGTTTGGCTCATTTTAAAAGTGTGCACTCTTAGAAATGCAGAGCTCTAAAGTGTACATCACTTTAGACAATGGGGCGAACAGCATGTCCTCCCCCCGCTTATTTGAACAAACCAGAAGAAAACGTTACAAGCAAGAATAGGGAGCAAACGGAACTGAGCTTTGAAGGAAAGCTCAGAGTATTTCTGCAAGCTTGAGCATCCATGGCTGTCCCATCTGTAATCTGAACAGCTGATCCAGAAAGATTCTGTGGGTGTTGAAATTCATAGAGAGACCCAGGCGAATCAGCTGGGAATTTTCCTAATTTAGCCCCACATACTTTGGTTCATGGGAGGGCGCTTCAGGAGTGACTTGCCGTTCCTGGGGAACGCTGCCTAAAATTTCTGGTTAAGATGCTTCCTACCCAGCAGGGCTTCCATCCGGGAGTGGGGAGACCCTGAGTAGCCTCATGTACCATTTGCCAAGTCAATTTTAAAAACTGGAAGAATTCCAGCCTTGGTTCCTGATGCAGCACAAAGAGCTGCTATTAAAGGCAGATGGAGGGAATGGACAGGTCTTTGCCGTGCCTCCAGGGGCCGTCTCCATCCTCGCCACGGTGAGCTGCGTGTGATGACGCAGCTTTTGGCAAGGTGCGGTGCTGGAGTGGCGGCCGCCATTCTGCAAGCGCCATTTTCGTCCTTGACTGACTGGCTGGAGGCTATTTTTGGTGTGGGGATTTGACCAAAACAAACTCGAGCTTTCCGCCGTCGCAGCCTGAGAAATGTCTCATATGGGAATTGGGCAGATCTGTGGCTCTGTGATTCTTGTGCATTTGTCTTTAGAATCACGCCACTTCTCTATAGAATAAACTCCTAAGTGGCTTACAAAAAAAGTTCATAAAAACAGCCAAACATGCCAAAATCAATTTCATATAATAAGAGCAGGAACGGACTGTAATGGCTCATCATCAGTGGAAGGCTGGGGGGACTTATCCCACCCCGAAAGCTGGATGGAATGAAACAGCGGTTCTGAGCAGCTCACTCAAAGCTGGGGGGTGGGGGTATTCAGCCACCCCAAGTGTTAAATGAAGCAGCTAAACAGGGTCCCGGGGAGGATGTTGTCCGGCACCCTGCATTGCAGACCCTGTACAGATTGGGGGGGGGGGGCAGGCTGGATGATCTTTGGAGCCCCTTCCCTCTCTCTGATTCTGTAAACAACCCAGTCCCAAGCTTTTGCCTTGGGGGAAGGAATGTGGCAAGGAGGCCTTGGGGTTGTGCAGAGAGACTCCGGGACAAAATCCCCCTCCAAAACACAACCAGTAGTCATTTGCCGGGCGTCCTGAACCAAGCCAAGGGATGCGCCACATCACAGCCAAGCTGAAAAGGGTGAGGACAGTGCTCAGGGCCTGCGCTCCCCCCCCCCCCCACACACACACACAAAGGAGTTACAACACAGCTCTGTGTTACTGACACTTCGCTATTGCAAGGGAAAACTGGAATCCTGGTGCAGAGGTTCAGCACGGGGAGGGGGTAGACCTATTAAATCACAGAGGGATTTATGAGCAGGAGGGCTGGATCTCGGGGTCCCCGTTAGCCAGCAACTGCTGAGGGTGCGTGATTCCGGCATGCCATGCATCACGCGGACGTGGCGATCTATATTTCGCCGAGGCGGCAGCCCAAGCGCCGCACCAAGCGCGGAGGTGGGAAGATGCAGGAGAGCGGGCGAAGCAGAGGGGAAGCATTTGTGGGTGGGGGGGCCTGTGCTGGGCCCAGGGAGAGCTTGGCTGGATGCCGGGGCCAGCCCCCCGCCCCGCCCCACACCCCGGCACGGCCTTAGGAAGTTGCCTCCCCAAATCTCCCACAGCTCTCGTGGCCCAGGCAAAAACTAGAGGCAGGTTTGCCCTCCGTGGGGTTTGCTTTCCATGTCCCCCTCCTGGGGGCTCCCCCCTCAGACTCTGCTCTGAAAGGGCACTGAAATGGGGCTGATGCCGCTGACAGTCTCTCCCCAGCACCCCCACTCCCCAGTTCCTTTGATAAGGAAGCGAGAAGTAAACAGAAACCTTGTGTTTAAGCAGATAACTTAGAAATCCTTTTCCATCACATTAGGAAAATGCTCATGTCATGGATTCTGCAAAAAGGCTGGTTTTTAGGACTTTTTTGGTGTAATTTAATATATATATCTTTTGTCTGTGTTAAATTTTGTTTTAATAATCTTGACATGTTTTGTAAAGGTTTAGGAATAAGATTTTTTTTTGAAGGGATGTTAAAACCATTCTCCAACACTGACATCTCATTAAAGTGAAATTTGTCTGCTGGGACTGGAAATGTTACAGACAAGGAGAAAACAGTGGCTGTGGGGTTTTTTTAAAGTTTTTTTTCCCCTATAGGAAGTACTTTTTAATCTTTTTAATGATGATGGTGTGAGACACGCAACCTTGCTTTGTTTCTGAGAAGTCCTGACATCCGGCCTAACATAATCCATTTTCTCTTAGCTAGTCATTGGAGACTTCTTAATAATAAAAATAATAATAATAAAAATATTGTAGCTGTTCTCTCGGCAAAGCTGTGGATTAATCTCTCAAGTGCTCAGTGCGCTCTCCTCCTCCCTGCTGGAATGAAAGACACTTTATACTGCTCAATCTCCTTTTTCAGCTGGAGCTGACATCTGGGTGCTCGGCTTGACTTACTTAATGGGCGGCCGAGCCCCGGCTTCCGTAGGAAGCAGGAGTGGGATCTTCGAGCCGCTTCGCCTTTGTTCCTCTGATGGATCTGCTCTCTGCTGACACGTCCCTGCCCCAGCTCCCCGCCTCCCCTCTGATAGCGTGGAGGCACCCCACCACCACGACGGCTGCGGCCCCCAGGGCCCGGCCGTCAGTGGCGGGAGGCAGCTTTCGACCTCACACCGCTCGCCGTGGGCGAGCTGCGGTTGCAGGTGGTGGAGCCCTTCGAAGTAGGTGGCTTGGAGAACGGCTGCTCCCCCCTCCCCCTCGACCCGCTAGCCTGAGGACGTGCAATTTCTTTTCCTGATTACAGGAATTTCCTGATTCCTGATTCTTTTCCTGTGGATGGACAGGACGGATGCTCTCACGTCCGTGCGGGAGGCCGAAAACCACTGCCATGGCCACCAGTCAGGGGAACTGACTCCCTGCCCTTCGTGTGTTGGCAGGAGTGGTGCGAATCTTTGCCCTTGGGTCTTCCTAGGTCCAGGCATTCCCCTCCGGGGACGCACAAGAAGTCTCTGGAGCCCTGTGTCTCGGGCTGCAATACCCAGATCATGCCCAGCCGCAGCTTCCAGCATCAATGTCCAAACGACCCCAATGCCGCAGATTTTCGGTGTTTTCTCCGGCCCCCTTCTCCTCCCATTATCTGCCCTGCGTGTGTGCTGGGTTTTGGGATTGTTCCTCTTCTTGCACGCTTTAAGGTGGTAAGCACGGCTACGCAGCCCGAAGGCCCAGTGGGGGGATCCCAGCCCTTCCCTCCGTGGAGCTTATTTCAGCGCTGCCCTCAGAGCGGCTCCCCATAACCATTGGCTTGTCCAAATGCATCCTTTGGGGTGGGGGAGAGCGTGCCGTATAAAATCTAGCAATGAACTGAGCAAGGCAGAAACAACTCGGTCAGCACAGAATAGATTGACTGTTACAGAGAAACATCCTGGGCCAGCTTTCTTCAGTTTGGTGGCCTCCAGATGAGTTGGGCTGGACCCCCCGCTGCACACAGTGGTCGGGAACGATGGGCACTGCAGTCCAGCTCATTGGGCGGGTGCCAGGTTGGGGAAGCTTGGGCTAGACCTTGGGTGTAAGTTGGATTTTGCCCTGGCTGGTTCGTCAGTGAACCCTCACGGCAGCACTAGTCTGGCGGCATTCCAAGTGTGCGTGAAGTCCGGAGGGATCAGGGCCATCTCTCCAGGCTAGCGGCTCACAGCTGGCTAGCTCACCTCTCCTCCGAGGGAGGCTGACTGCACCATGGGGAAAGGGTGGGGTGCAGCAGTTGTCCCCAGTCCTGTCTGGGGTTCCTGCCCTTGGTGCTCACCCCGTTTCTGTCGGGGCGCGACTGCACTTTTCAGGTACCCAAAGGCATATCACTCAGGGCTGTTATCGGAGACCGTCGGGCGCAAGAAACGGGCCTCCGTCCCAGAGAGGCAGAGGACATACTCCGTGCTGCTCCTAGAAGAAAGGAAGCGACCGAGGCAACGTGGGGCGTTGGCTGTGCGTGAGAGTGGGCCTTGGCCGCACTTGCTGCCCTAGATGCAGCCCTCCGAGGAGGCTATGGGGGGATTTAGGTTCTTCGCCCTCCAGGGAGCAGCTACTGTAATTGAGCTCTACTTTGGAGGAACTAATGAAAACAAAATAAAACCAGGACTCAGGGGTTAACAACCATCTTTAAATGCAGATGAAAATACTTAAGAATAATGGGATTTTCTTTTTTTAATTTTGGTTAATGGAGTAGTAGATTTTTGAATTGATCCTATTAAAAATAAAACTGTCACTTCCAAACCTGGGGAAGCAATTATGGGTTATTTAGTTGACAGGGTATTTGGTGTTAATCTTGGGCCACTCCTCCTCTGTACTCCCCCCTCCCCATTAGGTGCTGGAGGGGGCGCAGGAAGCCCTCCTCGGGCTTCCTTTGGGGGAGTGAAGCGCCTCACCCGCCCAGTTGCACCGTAAAACTTCGGCAGCTGCCTCGGTCAGACCCTTCCCCGCCTCGCGCAGCAGCAGTGGCTCCGCATGGCCGCGTTCCTGTGTCCTGCCCAGAGGTGCTGTGGCCTGGGATGGAGGGTCTTTGCGTGCAAAGCAGAGTCTCTGCCTTGGCGCCGCGGACCCCTCCCAAAAACGTGACTTGCCTGCCTCTCTGCTGCGTGATGGCAAGCGGGAGGAATAGCTTGCTGGGGCCGGAACAACGGACATACCTGTTGGCCCCTCCTGCCCAGTGTTGGCGTGCCCCCCGTGCAGAGTGAAAAGTCCAGCAGAAGATGGAGAATGGCGGAAGCCGCTTTGCGTTCATTTCGAAAAGAAAAAAAAGCGAGCTAGCTACGAATCAGGTTGATAAAGGCATATAACTCCCAACAGGTGAGCTCAGCTGCCAACCACACGTTGGCGCATGTACAAAATGGACAGATACGCAACATGTGCTTCAGGAATCGGTATTCTGGCAAATGCGAACCATTTGCAAAGTAGTTGGAAAGGCCATCAGCGAATCTGTACTTCTTTAACCTAACAATTGTGCAGACTCCATACAGGTGAGTAGGGAGGGGTGAACATGTGAAGTCCATTGCCTTTGAAGTTCTCCTGGTGGCTTTGTTGTCCCGCTCCAGCTTCCCAAACAGGAGGCTCTTTCTCCCCGACTCCCCATGAAAACCCTGCATTTCTACCCCAGATGTGCACTTTTCCCCCCAAAGGCCAATGGGAACATCAGACCCCCCACTCACGTGGCTTGACCCCCTTCCCAGCGGGACGCGCCTCTCCAACTCCCTCCGGGGGAGCTTCTTCTCGGTGCAGACCCCACCCCCTCGCTGGCAGGCGCGCACCGTATTTCACTGTGAGCTGCAGGCGTCCCCAATGAATGGAAGGCGAAGAAGTGAACAAGCCAGGAAGGGCTTCTGGCGGGTGCTCTGTGGGACCAGCAACAGGGCTGGGGGGAGGCGGAGGCCAGGCATGGGGGGCTCAGTGCCCCTCGCCTCTCCTGATCCTTGAGCGGGGGTGAGAAGGGAGCAAAGCCAAGTGCCCGTCTTTCATGGAGCCCTGTGCGAGGGCCGGAGGGCTCCGGCACGGGGCTGGCCCTCTGCTCTCACGTGGTTATCCGGAAGATTGCGACCGAATGGGGCTGTTCAGTCCTTGCCAGGAACGGCCCGTGTTTGTTGGCCCCCACGGAGCCCCTCGGGCACGTGGAGTAGAAGCCACGCACTTGGCGTGCCTCGCCTCCCTGTCCATGGCCTGGAAGAGGCGACTCCTTGCCACGGCAGCGCTGCGGCCAGGCTTCTTCCCGTCCGGGAGCGGTGGCCTCGGGCGGCGACTCCTGTCCTTCGCACTTGCGGAGGGCGCTGGGCTGGGGCCAGGTGCCCCCAGGCGGCCAGGGAAGTCGCGCCCATGCTGCCTCAGTGCCCTTTCCTGGGGGGCGGTGCCTGGCCTGCCACCCTCTTGGGAGCAGCTGCTCATCCCCGCAGATCAAACGCAGCCGCACGGCCTCTTTGAAGCCTGCGAACTGCCCCAGAAGCCCTTGCTGCTACCAGGAAAAGACGTGCATTTTGCTCCCTCGGCTCTCACGGCGGGACAGTGTCTAAAAGCCCCTGCATCTGGCGCCTGTCATTCGTTTGCGACACCAGCAATGCTGTTCGCAGAGAAATAAGGCAATTTGGTAAGGCTGGCATTCCTTTATCTTCCGCTCCCCATCAACTTAGCCTGGCGGCTTGCCTGTCACGCCCATCCAGACACAGTTGTCGTGTTCTTTCCACATTGACTCATGGTCCGTGTCCCAGATGTATAGGGAAATATAGCTTAATTTGAATGAATGTTCGTCCTTCCTCAGAGATCTTTCGCAGCTGTCGGTGCAGCTTTGGCTCAACTTTGTCTTCAGCTTTTTACATTTATAAATGGTCATTTCACAGGACTTCATCCTCTTGTCAGCTCTTCCATCAGGTTCTTAATGACACACTTTCCTGAAACCACCAGAATCTGTGACGGTGTTTATTTGTACAGCAGAGAGGATGCCTACTTTTTTTCTTTTTTAAAGAAAAGTTTCCAGAGGTTTCTACAAGTTTATTTCAGTGGCTAAGCTTTGACTAGCTTGAGTTTTTTAAACCATTTTGAAAAAGAGAGTCAAAAATTGGTGAGGGGACTTCCTGTTGTTGTTAACGCGTCATCAAGTTGTCTCTTATGAAGGGATGCCTTCTGTGGTGTCCTGACCTTGACAGCCCTGCTCAGCCCATGCAAATGGGGCGGGGAGACAGTGGGGAGCGGGGGTTGCATTGATAGCCTGCTTTTCCCCTCTTGCGAGGAACCCAGGCAGCTTGCAAGGTCCCCCGTCCCTGCAGTTTATCTCCATGGCAGCTTTGTGAGGTAGGTTAGCCTAAGAGTCAGTGACCGGCCAAAATCACCCGGTCAGCTTCAGGGCCAAGGGGGCACTCCTGTGGCCCACTCTAAGACACGAGACCTTTTAAAACCCGTCGGCCAGCCGCTGAAAAGCCCCTGTCCAAACCATGTTCCTGGGAGCCCTCCGAGGCCATGGAAGGGAGGGGAATCCATGAAATCCTCCCACTGGAATGCAAGCCCTCCTGCCCCTTGGAGCCGTGCCAGCGCCTTCAGCTGTGCCTCTCGATTATCCCCCTTCCAGCGACCCCCTGCCTCCCTCCGTTCCCACTCCTTGCCTTGGCCAGAGAGGGGCTGAGTTGGGGAAGGGAGCAGACACGAGATGCAGCGATTCCCTCTTCCCACCTGCCTTTGCATTGCCAGCGCCTCCCCAGGCCGAGAGCTTGGCATTCAAAGGACGTTTTGGGCAAGAACAACAAAAGAGTTGTGCTGGATCTGACCCAGCGCCCGTCCTGTCCACCCGTCTGTCCGCACGGCGGCCGGCCTGCTTTTGCTCCGGTGAGCCCACGAGCAGGGGAGGAGTGCCGCAGCACCCTGCCGCCCGTGTTCCCCAGCAGCTGGTGCAGGGAGGCATTCTGCCTCGATATCGCTGCCCCGAGCGGGCTGCCTGTGTCTGTGGGCGCAGGGGGCGTTGCGCACAAGCATGGGAAGGGGGGGGGGTGGCTTTGCGTGGCGAGCGGCCATGTGGTGCTCTCCGGAAGTGACCCCGGTCACTCCCGATCATCCGCCGCCTCCGGCTTGCTCGGGATGCTGCTCTCCAAGCCGCCCCTCCAACTGTTGGCAGCATCTGGGCTGCGTCTCGCGGAGCTGCCAGCGCGCCACCGATGACTGACAGGACGAGTCTCGCGGCTCCGTTAAAAGTACGAACCCGTTTCCCAGGGCAGGAAGGTCACTCGGCTTGGCAAATGTTTAGGCTTAATTT